CTCTGGAGTGATCCTGGGGCTGCCATGACCAACGGTGAGGGGATGGGGGTAGTTTGAGGGGGAATGGGGGGGCCTGGGGGGTCCTGGGGCCACCATGACCGACGGTGAGGGGATGGGAGGAATGGGGGCTCTGGAGTGATCCTGGGGCTGCCATGACCAACGGTGAGGGGATGGGGGTAGTTTGAGGGGGAATGGGGGGGCCTGGGGGGTCCTGGGGCCACCATGACCGACGGTGAGGGGATGGGAGGAATGGGGGCTCTGGAGTGATCCTGGGGCTGCCATGACCAACGGTGAGGGGATGGGGGGCATTTGGGGGGGGGCTGGGGGGTCCTGGGGGGGAACAGGGGCAGCCATGACCAACGCTGAGGGGATTGGGGGAGATCTGGGGGAGAACAGGGGCAGCCGTGACCAACGATGAGAGGATGGGGGGGGTTGAGGGGTCTGGGGGGGATGAGGGGATCTAGGGGGTCCTGGGGCAGCCATGACCAACGGTGAGGGGAATGGGGGGTCCTGAGGGGAACAGGGAGGAAAGCGGGGGGTTTGAGGGGATTTGGGAGGGTCTGGGGGGTCTTGAGGGGAGTGGAAGGTCTGGGCGGGCTCTGGGGTCACTATGACCAACGGTGGGGAACGGGGCGGTCCAGAGGGGGTTTAAGGGGTCCGGAGGGGTAACGGGGGGCCCTGGGGGTGCCCCGGGCCCCGCTGACCCCCCGTGCCCGCAGTGTACTCCCTGGACGGGCTGCTGGTGTTCGGGCTGCTCCTGGTCTGCACGTGCGCCTACCTGAGGAAGGTGCCCCGGCTGCGCTCCTGGCTGCTGTCCGAGAGGAGGGGGCTCTGGGGGGTCTGCCACAAGGGTGAGGGGGGCAGTGGGGCTCTGAGGGGTCTGCCACAAGGGTGAGGGGGCGTCTGGTGGTGGTGGGGGTCAATGGGGGGCTGGGGGGTCTTCCACAAGGGTGGGGGGGACTGGGGAGAGTGCTGGGAGCACTGCCAACACTGGCGTACAGGGTGGGGTCATGGGACCACTGGGGTGTGGGGTGGGGGTGCTGGGGTTGAGAATACTGGGAACACTGGGGTCTGGGATGGGGACAGAGGATCCAGAGAGTCTCACCCCACCCCTGTCCCCCCAGCTGCCGTGATCGGGACCCGCCTGCACGTGGCCGTGTCCGTGTCCTGCCTCCTCATGGCCTTCTACGTCCTAGTGGGGAAGTGACCCCAGGGGGACCCTCCTGGGACCTGGCACCAACCCCAGAGACCCCCGGGGACCCCCCTGAGACCTGGCACTGACCCTAGAGATCCCCAGGGATCCACCTGAGACCCCAAGACTGACCCCAATGCTGTCGTACCAACCTGAGACCCTGGGACTGACCCCAGAGACCCCAGGATCGACCCTGAGACCCTAAGATGGACCAGAGCTCCCAGTCCTGATCCTGGTATCCCAGTACCAACTGTAGAGACCCCAGAATTGACCTGAGACCCCAGTACAGAGCCCAGGACCAACCAGAGACCCCTGAACTGATCCTGGAAACCCCAGAGACCCCAGAATTGACCTGAGACCCCAGTACAGAGCCCAGGACCAACCAGAGACTCCTGAACTGATCCTGGAAACCCCAGAGACCCCAGAATTGACCTGAGACCCCAGTACAGAGCCCAGGACCAACCAGAGACTCCTGAACTGATCCTGGAAACCCCAGAGACCCCAGT